CCCCCTCCTTTACCTCCTGCACCTCTCCTTTACCTCCTGCACCTCTCCTTTATCTCCTGCACCTCTCCGTCACCTCTCCTGCACCACCCCTGTGTCGAAGTTGATTTCTCTCAATTCCCTGCAATCTGCCTCTCCGCAATATAACCCTTGGAAGCTGCAGCAGCTGTCTTGAGCCCGTCTTCATTTCCTCTCTGAATGACTTCAATCATCATCGATCCCTTCTCCTCTCGTTCTATAGTGCTGTTGGCCCACTTTCATTTCTGCTCTTCGTCATGTGTGGACGGGACCTTTGGGGCTGCTCACTGTACTTCCCGAGCATTACATGAGAGCACACATCCCCCGCATCCCTGCAGATGGACCTGCTCCTGATTGGCTGTGCTATCTGCTGATCAGCTGCTTGATAACGTTCTACTATTAGAGCCTCAATAAGCAACTGATCATCAGATGGCACAGCTAAAGTCTACAGCACCCCAGGGGCCAGCAAGAAGAAGCAGCACAGGGCTGCCGGAGGGATGTGGGCTTTCATAGGCTCGAGGCCGGGTGCTGTGACATTTACAGGAGGTATGACTCGGGGATCGGGTAATAGGTGGTGTCCTGGGAGGATTCGCTGCGGCATTTGACGTCCTGTGTATCCCCCTGCTGGGCTGCCGGCTGAACTCCTCCTAGGGTGACAACTCACTATCTATGGAGGAGTGTTGTCACTCTGGAACAGGAATACAGAACACGCCCCCCCACCCCCATTTTGTTCTTCTCTATAACATGGTAGGGAGGTGTTTTGTAGTGTTTTGTAGTCCTCAGGGATTGCTAGGAACAATGTAACTAAGGCGGATGGCACACAGCCCGCAGGGTTTCTGGCAGGGTCACTCGGTATTCTTTGCACTTATTGAACCGTGACAACAAAAACGCTTCCAGCGGGATATTTAACAGATGCCAAGGCAGCAAACACGAGACAGGTTGGTTGTTCGAGTTTAAATAAAGCTTTAATGAGCTCGGGACCGGACGCATACAGGATGTGCCCCCCTCCCCCATTCAGCATTGTGTTATTACACTGTGACAAGCCGGCTGCATGCGTCGTCTGACCGGGAAATACAAGGGGGGCAATGGATGCATCGTTCTCTGCGTCCCCGCACGTTTCCCGGGTTCTAAGGAGACATTAATGGGCGCAGGTCAGAGGTCAAAAAAAAAAAAGATATTCAGTACATCTCTGCAATACATCGTAAAATGTGCTCGGCCTTTCTATTTGCAGCTAGTTTGTGGACTGGGTGGTGTCAGCCCTGCCCAGGTGCCTTTTGCTAAACTAATCGAACCCTCCCATTGTCTTCATCTCCAATGCATAGGCACCTAACTCAGTGATGGGAGCGATACACAAATAACGGGAGAAAGTCGACCAATTAAAAAACGTGCCTTACACCAGCACTCCATCCCGCACCACATATACCGGTCCTGAGACTAGGACTCACCGTGGCTGGATCCGAGAGGATGAAGGGGACCAGGATCAGGAAGAGTCTGGAAAAGGAAAGAGAAAGAAGAAGAAAGAAAACAGGTCCTGCTTAGTATGACGGCTGCACATATACAGAAATGAGTAGCAAAGACAGCACGAGCGAGTCCCCCACCCTTCACAGGGATCAAAGGCCGTCCACATCCATCCCCGGATGACACAACAAGTCTGCAATTAGGTTAAATGTAATGTAGTACCACACTATGGCCACTAGATGGAGCCGAGGGGCATAGGAAAGAAGTGTCCAGTGTTCTTCAGCTCCATCTAGTGGTCATAATGCAGAATTACATTACGTTTGATTGAAAAAGAGAATATACTAAAGACGTTCATTTATCCTCCTTCTACGTGCGCAAAATAAATGTTCACACGTAGGAAACATCAAGCCACCAAATCAGCAAATTGTGAGAGACTGTCCCTGAAACTCAGGGACATTTCATAACCTTGTTGTCTCTCTCCCTCTCTCTCTATATGTATACACTATATTACCAAACGTATTGGCCCCTCCCCCTCCAAATCATTGGATTCCGGTGTTCCGTGACATTTCCCAGCTACTAAATATTCCCCCGCGGTCGCCTGTTACTGGGATTATAACAAAGTGGAAGCAACTGGGAACAACAGCAACTCAGCCAGGAAGTGGTCGGCCGCGTCACATGACAGAGCGGGGTCAGCGCATGCTGAAGCGCACAGTGCGCAGAAGTCGCCAACTGTCTGCAGAGCCAATATATATATTGTGATGTTTGGAGATATTAGCACAAAGGGTGAGCACTATAAGGACGCAGTCCACTCGGAATATCTTCGGTTTGAGGGCCCGGTGGCCCACTTTTACTCAAAGAAAAGTTCATACATCCACCTTGGATCCCCTCGGCTCAGCAAGGCTTCAATACAACACAAGAATAGCCTCCTGGCTTCCACTATAAACATTATTACTTCTGACCCACTGGTCCTCTCTGTAGTGAGAGTGGCGAGTCATTACACACCACCTGGCTTCCTGTACTCGGTAATTGGTATCGGCGAGCACCAGGGACAAAAACTATCGGTACTCGGTACCAACATACCGGTATCAGTGCGTCCCTAGTTATATTGAGGTCAGACCTGTAGCATGTATGAACACGGTGTGTGATTGCTTTGGATGAGACCTAAACCCAAAAGCTCACTCTAACCGGTTAGGAAAAGAGCGGTCAAGGCTGCTAAAGTCTTGTATAGGGGCCAAGGGGTATCGGAGTGGAAGGGCCAAGGTGCAGAAGAATGACCTATGGAGGATGAAGCAAGGAGGAGGTCCTATAGCACCCAAGGCGAAAAGACCAAAGTGCGTCTCCTGAGCTCCGCCATCATGTCATCACTTTGGCTGTCACAATGATCATGTGATTAGGCCCCCGTCCTACCAACTCCAAATCCTTGCTATGTGACCCGGGAGCTGCTGATGACGGTGCCGGCACAGTGCTGGAGGTATGCGTTTGATAGACATGAGCACTGCCCAAAAATTCGTTTAGTTTCGTTTTAAATTCGGATTTGTGTTATTTTGTTTTTCGGGATTCGGGTGTGAAAGTCAATTCGGATTCGGAATTCGGATTCGGACGAAATTCGTTGGCGGTAGTTCGTTCGAACGTTCGTTTCGTATCCGTTTCTTATTCGTTACGTTCATTCGTTTGCAGCAAAGGGAGAGTCATGGAGCGCAAGGAAAAGAGGGAATTGGGTGGAATGGCAACATGACAGGGTGAGAAGGGGAGCCAGAGGGTAAAGGGTTAAAGTACAGGAAACAGGGAGAAGGGGTGGCTTACCAGCTTGTAGGAGGTCCACAGGGGGGTGGGATTTCCAGAAGGGGTCGGCACGTGGATCCCAGGATCATTCTGGAAGAGAAATTTCCCGCCCGCCCTGAAGGAGGTTTCGATTTTGTTTGCTCTTCCTTTATTGCTGTGTTTTGGGCTGTTTGAGTGGGTTGGGGTTTCGTCTAGTCATGGCAGTCTGGTGGCGGTTTGGGGTCCTTGAGGGCGTTAAGGGATGCCATGGGTTTATTGACCAGGATTGGTGACCCATCATAGGTGTGGTGTCCTTTAAGTGGTGGTCAGTTGGTTTGACCACTTAGTTTTGGCCGGTGAAGTGTCTGCGGTTTAACAGATATTGGTCCCCGAGGCGGTGGTTTGCGGCTGGGGGCCCGATTAGTAATATCTGAGGCCGCAGATACAGGTATGGGACGGCATTCCAGTTATTTGAAGCACCTTCAGGGATCCGGAAGCCTGAGTTTAAACTGGATAAGTGTGTTAATTGGTTACGAGTATATATAGTAGAGTTATTTTTCTATTCAAGTTTGTATTTATTTTGATATGGTTATTAAAAAAATACAAGTGGCTGCTGTGGCCTTTGACAATCCATACAAGTCTGGAGTGCCTTATTTTGAGTAGAATGGTGGTGGGGGGAGGTCACAGTAGAAGAGGGGGTCCCTCTGAAAATACCTTTGTCATGACATTTGAGGGGGGGAAAAGTTTATCTCCTTCTCTAATGTCACTTTGCTCCAACGAACTAAACGAATAAGAAACGAAAACGAAACGATTCGGAACGAAACGAATCGCACATGTCTAGCGTTTGACCGAGCTCACAGCACAGCAATGCCAGCACAATGCAAAACAGGTCCGACTTCTTCTCATCCGTTCAAGTCAGAGTCAGTGATTGGGCGGAATCCCCTGTACAATGTCTGACCGAATCAGATAATGGGACGTTATACAAAGAAGTGGCCAGAGTGATTCCTTATGGTGAGTTCTTCTTATGTTACAATGTATCCAATTGTCACGTACCTTAGGGGAGTCTGAGATGTCGGGGGGCGGCCTCTCTCGCTTCTCTGGTCCTGGGGCACCTGCATGGGTACAGGAGCACCGGGGCACAGAGGGGCAGGAGTGCCAGTAGTAGCGGAAGACGATGAGCAGGAGCAGCAGGCAAAGGATAGCAGGGTAGTCAGGACAGGCCGAGGTACAGAGGATGAGGCAGGAGGATGGTCTGGAACAAGCCGGGGGGCAATCACTGGAGAGACGCCGAAAGGTCAAAGCCAAGCCGGGTCAGGATAACAGGAAGACTTCAGGAGCAGGATGCAGGGACACAGGGAAGCTGACGGTCTGACAGCAAAGGAGGTTTGTTAGTCACAGCCTTATATAGCCCAGAGGGCGCCAAAAACTCAAACAACACGTCGGCGCACGCCCGCGCTCACGTGCCACGCGCACGTTTACGCAGAGACGCTGCACCTGACACAACTCTATTAGCTGCACCATGCGCATGCGCAAACGGCGATGAAAGAATCCTGGCTCCGGCTTCCTGACACCAACACACTACTTCACATATGGGAACGAAGCTCCACCTCCTTCACCAACATTCAGATAATAATTCCCCAAAACTATCAAACGTTTATTGATTCACTCGTGTAAATGTTCAATCACAATGTGGATCCCCCATCTCCATTTCTAAACTCTCACAGTATATATATTTATATATCTATATATTATGTGTATTGTATATACTGTACATGGGGAGGGGGTTTAGAACCTCTGTCAGGTTGTTATTGCCATGTGTGTCTGTTGGAACTTCTTGCACAGCCTCACAGAGTAACTAGGCTTAGGTCTCAGGTGGCCTGTGCGGGCTCTCACCAGGGCTGTGTGAGGTCTCCGGTGGGCTATGGGGGCTCTCACTAGGGCTGTGTGGGGTCTCATGTGGGCTATGCAGGCTTACAGGAGTGCTGTGCGGGAAGTGCAGGGGTCTGGGGGTCAGGAGGCAGGCAGCGTGCTGTCAAGAAGGAGCCGTAGGAGGAGATGTTAAGGGCCGGTGCCTGTTTATACGCACCTGCGGCTCACAGGAAGATGCGGCCGCCTGAGGTCCCGCGCTTGCTGGGGACCTCGGCAGCCACATCTGTCAAAGAATGTAAAGTGCCGGTATTGGCACCCAGTGTCTTGTGTCTGGGTGTTAGGTTGGCTTGAAACCCGGACACAAGACTCAAAAACCGGACTGTCCGGGTGAATCCCAGACAGGTGGTAAAACTAAGAGTAACACAAGCAGACAGTCTGATATGAAGTCTGCACATGGCTTGGAAACAGGAAGGAAGCCGCAGCTTTATTCTCTACCTCAGGGGTAGCCAAACTCCGGCCCTCCAGCTGTGGTGGAACTACAAATCCCATGGGGCATTGCAAAATTCTCACAGCCACAGACATGACTCCCGGAGAGAGATGCATCATGGGATTTGTAGTTGCACCACAGCTGGAGGGCCGGAGTTTGGCTACCCCTGCTCTACCTTACTCAATACAACAGAGTATATACCATAGATATAACGGAAATTATAAACACCGCCATCTAGTGACCGAACATGTATACGGCAGGAGTTGTTGTTACAAACACAGTAATGTGTATTCTAACAGTGTTCCTGTTGGGGAGATTTGCAACCACTTCCTGTCAGGAGAAGTAGTAATGGGAAACAGTAGTCATGTGCGATTCGTTTCGTTACGAATCGAAATTCGTACGAATTTTCCTGAAATTCGTAGATTCGGAAGCATCCGAAATCCGAAATTGCAGTTTCCGAATTATATCCGAAATACGAAATTCCGTTAACGAATTTCGGATCCGAATTTCGTTGAAACGGGAAATAATATTACCCCTGTAAATGAGGTTGAACAACATGACAAGATTTTTTTTTTAATCCGAGATACGGATCGGCTGCTGCTGAGAGTCGCATTACAATACACAGGCAGGAAATACGAAATTCCGTTGATGTGTTTTCGTTCCGTTACGAACATTCGTTATATTGAAGTACAAAAACAACTACCACATCGATTCCAATATTAACAAAGGTATTTTTGCTTTTTAACTTCATCATAACGAATGTTCGTAAAGTTACGAAAATGTGCCGAAACTAACGAAAATCCGTATTTCGTACGAATCCGAATTGAGTTTTCGGACACGTATTACGAAATAATGGATATTACGAAACGGAACGAAATGAAACGGAACAAATTTTTTGACGGCGCACAAGTCTAGGAAACAGACACAAAGAAAAACACAATTATAGTGTGGAAGGCTTGGAACGTGTGACAATGTATTCATTACTGTCTGTGCCTTCCTGTCTAAGTGACAACCTCCTCTCCCCACCCACAGGAAGTGAGGGACATTTTTAAAGGGGGTCACAGACAGATGTAAGACCCCGATAGAAATTCAGCTCTTCCCCACTCCATCTGAAAGCTGAACAATGGCTAGAGCTCGGGTTTAAAGTAATATAACTAATAGACATGTGCGATTCGTTTCGTTCCGAATCGAAATTCGGACGAATTTTCGGAATTTCGGACATTCGGATGTATCCGAATTCCGAATTACAGACATGACGAATGCAAACGAATCCGAATTTCCATTTCCGAAACTCGGTAGCGGTAGTTTGAACGTTCGTTTCGTTTTCGGTTCTTATTCGTTTCGTTCGTTGGAGCAAAGTGACATTAGAGGAGAAAAATATTTTTCCCACTCAAATGTCACTCTGCTGCAAACAAACGAACGAAACGAATAAGAAACGAATAAGAACAGGAAACGAATGTTCGACCTACCGCTACCGAATTTCGTCCGAATCCGAATTCCGAATCCGAATTGACTTTCACACCCGAATCCCGAAAAACGAAATAACAAAAATCCGAATTTAAAACGAAACGAAACTAAACGAATTTTTTGGCAGTGCACATGTCTAATAACTAAATATAACTGAATACATTCCAATCTAATAACATTTCAGTTGATATCATCACATACAGATCTATATGTCACCTTCTAATGGCGTGTTGTCCAAGGAGAGGACGTCTTAGGGCTCCGCGCCCACTATTCATCCAAGGGGTAGATGGAGCTCGGTGTTCTGACCTGGCCGGGGTTATTAGACAGAACAATGAAGACAAATGTCTCTCAGCCTCCTGGCTCTGTGCACAGCTCTGTTTGGGATCAGGCGCTCTTCCTGTCACCTTCTACGTCTCTACAATGACAGACGAGGGACCGGAGGAACACGAGTGCCGGGAGATGTTCTTGCAGAACCTCGGACCGGTGATGATGACTGGGGGGGCAGGAGTGTCAGGCGAGCAGTCAGCAGAACCTACAGGAAGCACCAGCAGAAGTTCAAGAGGAACTCTGGCTGGGTGTTGGGTTCAGGACGGCAGAGTCCACCATGACACTTGCAGGCAGGCAGAAGGAGGATTCATGGAGGTCCATAGCTGGATCCTGGAGCAGCCCAGGGCAGGCACTTGATGGGTAGTGCGGGAACGAGTCAGAGGTAGTAGTGAAGTCACACAGCAGGCCGAGGTCAGCGATGAGTGAGCAGTGCACTACCAAGTCATGAGTAGGATCGGGGTCAGAGATGAACCCGAGGTCAGGCACTGGGTGAGGAATGGTACCGAGCCCGATCCAAAAGCAGGTCAGGAGTAGGATAGGTCAGTAATGAAGAAGTGTCTGCAGAGCACAGGTCGGGTCACAAGGAACAAGATGAAGACCAGTCAGCACTGACACCGAGTCAGGTCAACCCTTAAATCGGTCGCTGACACTGAACAATTTCAGCAGCTGTCGGAATGAATGAACTCACGTGCATACGCAGGGACTACGTCATCCAGGTGCAGCCAGTCAAGATGGCTGAAGATCCCAAAACCAGAAGAAGACCATCAAAGGTAACGGCATCAGTGAGGGAGCTCATGGACATTGCGTCGCTGGAGGGAAGGTGAGTATTGTTCTGCTTTAAAGAAAGGACAACAAACACAGCTGTGGTAATGATACAAACACACTGCACTATAGATGCCATTTACATTTCACCCATAGTGCCACTTTAATAACATTAATGGAAACCATGGATGTTGCAGATGATCCCTATGTTGGATGAGGATTTGGGGAAGCAGCCTTCAGTGCCATAATATGTAAGCTGAACTTTCACTTTTCCCTACGTGATCCTGCCCCTAATCATGGATTTGGCTGAACAAAGAATTATTGTAATAGATCCCACCTCCAGCACACACACATTGTCCTCTCCACTGTGTCTCACCTCCCGCACACACACATTGTCCTCTCCTCTGTGTCCCCCCTCCAGCACACAGACGTTGTCCTCTCCATTGTCACCCACCTCCAGCACACCCACATTGTCCCCTCCACTGTGTCCCCCCTCCAGCACACAGACGTTGTCCTCTCCATTGTCACCCACCTCCAGCACACCCACATTGTCCCCTCCACTGTGTCCCCCCTCCAGCACACAGACGTTGTCCTCTCCATTGTCACCCACCTCCAGCACACCCACATTGTCCCCTCCACTGTGTCCCCCCTCCAGCACACAGACGTTGTCCTCTCCATTGTCACCCACCTCCAGCACACCCACATTGTCCCCTCCACTGTGTCCCCCCTCCAGCACACAGACGTTGTCCTCTCCATTGTCACCCACCTCCAGCACACCCACATTGTCCCCTCCACTGTGTCCCCCCTCCAGCACACAGACGTTGTCCTCTCCATTGTCACCCACCTCCAGCACACCCACATTGTCCCCTCCACTGTGTCCCCCCTCCAGCACACAGACGTTGTCCTCTCCATTGTCACCCACCTCCAGCACACCCACATTGTCCCCTCCACTGTGTCCCCCCTCCAGCACACAGACGTTGTCCTCTCCATTGTCACCCACCTCCAGCACACCCACATTGTCCCCTCCACTGTGTCCCCCCTCCAGCACACAGACGTTGTCCTCTCCATTGTCACCCACCTCCAGCACACCCACATTGTCCCCTCCACTGTGTCCCCCCTCCAGCACACAGACGTTGTCCTCTCCATTGTCACCCACCTCCAGCACACCCACATTGTCCCCTCCACTGTGTCCCCCCTCCAGCACACAGACGTTGTCCTCTCCATTGTCACCCACCTCCAGCACACCCACATTGTCCCCTCCACTGTGTCCCCCCTCCAGCACACAGACGTTGTCCTCTCCATTGTCACCCACCTCCAGCACACCCACATTGTCCCCTCCACTGTGTCCCCCCTCCAGCACACAGACGTTGTCCTCTCCATTGTCACCCACCTCCAGCACACCCACATTGTCCCCTCCACTGTGTCCCCCCTCCAGCACACAGACGTTGTCCTCTCCATTGTCACCCACCTCCAGCACACCCACATTGTCCCCTCCACTGTGTCCCCCCTCCAGCACACAGACGTTGTCCTCTCCATTGTCACCCACCTCCAGCACACCCACATTGTCCCCTCCACTGTGTCCCCCCTCCAGCACACAGACGTTGTCCTCTCCATTGTCACCCACCTCCAGCACACCCACATTGTCCCCTCCACTGTGTCCCCCCTCCAGCACACAGACGTTGTCCTCTCCATTGTCACCCACCTCCAGCACACCCACATTGTCCCCTCCACTGTGTCCCCCCTCCAGCACACAGACGTTGTCCTCTCCATTGTCACCCACCTCCAGCACACCCACATTGTCCCCTCCACTGTGTCCCCCCTCCAGCACACAGACGTTGTCCTCTCCATTGTCACCCACCTCCAGCACACAGACGTTGTCCTCTCCACTGTGTCCCACCTCCAGCACACACACGTTGTCCTCTCCATTGTGTCCCACCTCCAGCACACACACGTTGTCCTCTCCTCTGTGTCCCACCTCCAGCACACACACGTTGTCCTCTCCATTGTGTCCCACCTCCAGCACACACACATTGTCCTCTCCACTGTGTCCCACCTCCAGCACACACACATTGTCCTCTCCACTGTGTCCCGCATCCAGCACACACACATTGTCCTCACCACTGTGTCCCACCTCCAGCACACACACATTGTCCTTTGCATCGTGTCCCATCTCCAGCACAACCAATCTCTGATTCTTCCTCCGAGCTCACACTCCCAAGACACACACTACATATTGGTGTTCTTGGCCTTCCCGCAGGCATTGTTCACTGAACCCCCGAAGCAGATCTCTCTGACAATCTCCTGTATGTCTGCAGTCTCTGACAGCTTCACGTAGTATTACATTCACTGCATAGTGTGTGTGGGACCTTTTGGTGATGTCAGGGGCCGCACGTTATTCCTCTCTGCATCATAGGACCATCACTGGTGCAAGCCATTGAGGAATTAGTTTGGTGTTTTATGGATTCCCTTTATTGGCTAACTTATTATAGATATGAGCTGTTGGGATCCCTTCTTCAGGCTCCATAGAATTCCACACTAAATATTAGCTCTGGATTTGCACTTTAAGTTCCCCTTTCAATGATCACGTGTCCCTGGATGCGCACAGTGCAGTGACTTGGATCTTCTGTCATTACAGCTCTGCCGTCTAGAGTGGCCATAGACCTGAAGATGGAACTGGAGGAGGACAAGGAACATGAAGTCACGTGTTGGGTGGATGACGTGGCTCCCCTTAAATATGTCATGTTATCAGTGACCAGAGGAGGAGAAATATTTCTCAGCAGAACATATGAAGGGGACACCAGAAGAGACCCACAAAATCTGACGGAAACATTTAAGTTCACGGCAAGTCGTAGTGACAACCTGGAGGACTTTGCCTGCCAGGTCACATTAAACCTCACAAGAGTCCCCAACACCACTGTGTCTTCATCCCCTGTCACCGTCAGGACTTACGGTAAGTTGGAGGGTGTGTATACGTTCTATGACGGTTCTCTGAACTCTCTCTGAAGCCTCTAAATTGCTGCTTCTTCTGTCATGAAAATGTATTGAAGAGCAATTCTAATAGCAGCTCCTCAGACACTTTACAGAGAATCTTTATTCAGAGCCGGTGGTAATGTACAAGCAGCTGCCTGAGGGCAACCGGGGGGGCAGATAAATGCCGGGGTGGACTGGGCGGGGGCCCCTTTAAAACAGCTGCCGCAGTGGCGGTCACACCTGTCAGATTTCCCCTCTCGGCCGCTCTGTAGCTGCAGCGGCCAGGGAAGTGAAAAGGCTTCGATGATCAGGCTCCTCGGCGGCCACCTGCAGGTTCCTCCGCCCACTTCAGCTGCTATAGGCTGGGAGGAAGACTACAGCACCACCATTGGCCGGCTGACAGCAAGAGAGTGGGTCCTTAACTGACGGGACAAGAAGGCTGCTGGAGGCATGATGCTGGACTGGAGACTTCACCTGAGCAAAGGAGACATTGCTGCTCCCCCCCAACCCCACCAGGAGAGAAAGTGGGCAGAGCACCTGAATTAGGACATCAGACGATTCATGTGCTCTGTAAGTTTCTGCACTCTGCTTCACACCACTGACCTCTGCACTCTGCGTCACACCGCTGACCTCTGCACTCTGCGTCCCACCGCTGACCTCTGCACTCTGCGTCACACCGCTGACCTCTGCACTCTGCGTCACACCGCTGACCTACACACTCTGCGTCACACCGCTGACCTCTGCATCACACCTCTGACCTCCGCACTCTGCTTCACACCGCTGACCTCTGTACTCTGTGTCACACCACTGACTTCTGCATTCTGTGTCACGCCACCGACTTCCGCACTCTGTGTCACACCACTGACCTCCACACTCTGCATCACACCACTGACCTCTGTACTCTGTGTCACACCTCTGACTTCCGCACTCTGCGTCACACCTCTGACCTCCGCACTCTGCGTCACACCACTGACCTCTGCATCACACATCTGACTTCCGCACTCTGCGTCACACATCTGACCTCCGCACTCTGCATCACACCTCTGACCTCCGCACTCTGCGTCACACCTCTGACCTCCGCACTCTGCGTCACAACTCTGCCTCAGACCTCTGACCTACACACTCTGCGTCACACCGCTGACCTCTGCACCCTGTGTCACACCACTGACCTCTGCATCACACCTCTGACCTCCGCACTCTGCTTCACACCGCTGACCTCTGCATCACACCGCTGACCTCTGTACTCTGTGTCACACCACTGACTTCTGCATTCTGTGTCACGCCACCGACTTCCGCACTCTGTGTCACACCACTGACCTCCACACTCTGCATCACACCACTGACCTCTGTACTCTGCGTCACACCTCTGACCTCCGCACTCTGCGTCACAACTCTGCATCACACCTCTGACTTCCACACTCTGCATCACACCACTGACCTCTGTACTCTGCGTCACACCTCTGACCTCCACACTCTGCGTCACACCTCTGACCTCCGCACTCCGCGTCACACAGGAAGTCTACACAATGAAGCTCAGATCCAACGAGGGCTCTTCCTGAAACATATTGTCATTCATCATGATGGTGGGAGGTGGTGGCTACAGGTGGCCACCTTGTGAAGGTTTCAGGTATGGGGGGTCTGTATTTTGAGCTGCTCTCACTATGTTCATGAGATATTGTTAATGATATGGGTGCTGATTGGTTACTGTGCGCTCGTTCCTCTTTCTGCCGCATTGTTGCATAAGTCCATCTATGTTATGGTCAGTGATGTATTGATGTGTCCCCTCCGATGACAGCTCTGCCGGAGAATCCTCGTATTACAGCTGAGGAGTGGATAGAACATGGGACGGTGACTGATATCGGATGTGACGTCCTCCGTGCATTCCCTACAGAAAATATCACTACTACGTTATCTGTTGATGGTTTTCCCGACACCGAGGTCCATGGACATGTGGCGGCTGCGTCCGCTCTGAACACCAGCGACCTACCGCCGGCTCGGCATAATGTGCTCTGTGTATCTCAGGTGTTCAATTTCTCCAAGCAGAGCAATAAGAACATAGTCATCTATGGTAAGTACACATCCCTCTCTATACTATAGGCAACAGCCATTCTCTACAAGGGTTCCATGGAGATCGAGGGTTCTTCCAAATATTGGTGGGGGGTGCTTGAGCAATGAGCAATAGCAAATTGATCTACCTACTGAAACCCCACCCACTGAGCAGGGGAGGGGACCTGAGAGAGAAAGTTGTCTCACAGTTCCGCTCCTCTGCTCAGTGGGCGGGTGCAATACTCAGCCTGCTATTGGCTTTTGAAATAGATGGGGGGGGGGGGCATGTGGGGGGGAGTTGTCGAGCTGCCTAGTTTGCCTAGTAGTAGCACCGGCCCTGATTATGTGACAGAAAGACCAACCAAAAAGTTACCCATTAAGTGACCCCCTCCCCTCCCACCCAGCCTAGGCTGAGCTACAAATGTTAAATCCTTGTTTGTTGTGAAGCAGGGGTAGGCAACCTTGGAACTCCAGCTGTGCTGAAACTACAACCCCCATGAGGCATTGTTAGACTCTTGACAGCCATAGGCATGACTCCCAGAGGCCGCCCCCCCTCACCCTCCTTGTGACGCCACTGCCTGAATCCCAAAAGATCAAGATCTGCTGAAGGGGGGTAGGCAAATTCCAATCACTCCAGCTGAGGTGAAACTACAAAATTCCATCATGCATCTGCCTCTGGGAGTCATGCCTGTGGCTGTTAAGAGTATAACAATGTCAAGTGTGAGGCACTCGGTCATGGACCAAGATGGCCGCCGGCAGTGAAATACATCCCCATGCATGTGTGATGACACACCACACACCACACCACAGATGCCACCGCAACGCATGCACGGCGGCCACATCGGGTGACAGAGTGATTGCTGAGCATTTGTTCCCTCTAGTGGCTGATCTACAAACTACAAAGAATGTGCAGATCAAATGAAGCTCTCTAGATCTGAGCGGGCGCCTTTAGACGTCCGCTCAGCCACGCCCCCTCCCGTGCGCGAGGGAGAAAAACTCAAAAGTTAGAAACAGGCAGTGCTCCCTGTTAACATACAAGCGATCGATTGTATGGGGTGCCGATCCGCGTTGCGCCCATTACGCCGCACATGTTACATATCGCCGCGAACGTCGCAGTGAGGGCAATCATTCTCGGCCCATCAATCACTGGTAACACGAAGCTGATGAGCGGTCGCCTATGGCCAATTTTGTCATTCGTATTCTGCATTTTTAAAGCTTGACATGTTTGGTGTCTATTTACCCGACGTGACCCCGCCTTTTATATTTTACCCCCCAAAAAAAGTATTGCAGCCAGGGGCGTAACTAGAAATCACAGGGCCCCATAGCAAAATTTTGTATGGAGCCCTGTGATTTCTAGTTACACCCCTTGAAGAGCCCACATAGCTCACCTGAGGGTGACCCTGCTGAGCCCACCATAGACCCTCTATGGTGGGCTCTGCAGATCACCCTCAGGTGGGCTGGTCACATCCCTTACCTGTCCGCCTCTTCTTCCTCCGTCTTCCCTCCTCCGTCGCCGGGCCCGCTACGGGACAGGAAGGGGGTGTAAACACCGCGGTCAGCAAGGGGTTAAAGAATTTCTCAGGCCCCGTTAAGAAGGGTCTGCTGCTCTGCGGAGTGTTACTGTGCAGTACATCGGCCCATTCAAAGTAAAACGCACCACAACACAGGTATCGCGTATTAATGGATGATAACATGATTGGGCCCTTAAAGGAAAACACTGCAATAAGAACTTGACCAACGCTCGGACTTCCCCTACAAGACGTGGAGACACCGTGATAACGTCTACACGGAGCTGATCTGTGTCACTGAATAGATTTGATGTCTCTCCTTTCAGGTTTTGTGGTTTTTCCGCAATGTGTGTGATCCGGAAAGATGAATAATGAGACTTTGACATGTTACAATCTTTGATGTTTGATGTTTTAGTTCCCACGTGCAGGGCTGTAGCTACCATAGGGCGAGTGAGGCACTCGCCGCAGGTGAGAGGGGGCGCTGCCAGGGCCTGGCCTGGCTGCACCCCCTCGCCCCTATCGCTATGGCGAGCACAGGGTGCCATGGTACAGGTACGCCAAGTGCTAAGCTGGAGCCTGCGCCACGGCTCGGCAGGGAGAAGAGGGGCGGCACATTCTCCAGCTTCTCCTTGCATTCCCGCTGCTCTCCCCCTACCTGTATGTATCTCTTTTTCCAGTTCAAAAGGGAAATGTCAGGGGTATGTTTAGACCTCCAATATTTCCCCGAAGCCCCCCAAAAGTAAAAAAAAATTATAATAAAAAAAGAAATAACCCCCCCCCCACAAAAAAACACACACTCATGCACACATAGTACTAGACATGTGCAAAGACTAAAAATGTGTTTCAGACAAAATGAACTTATTGGTTTAGTCAAACAAAACTAGTTTTTATGCTATATGGATTTGGCCACCAGCGCATTCTGCTCATGCACGCCCCCATTCTGGAGGCGGGACGCATGACGTAACACACTGCACACGTCTGTTGGGGACTCACAATTTTCTGTTCTTGCCTCGGGTGCAAAGGGAGCTAGCTGCGGCTCTGCCCACGTGACCTTCACAGACTCACTGATGTGTTTTATTCTTACAGAACCTCCCAAAATAAACCTCACCACGTCCGGCAGAGAGGTGAATGTGGGTGCCACGCTGACCGTCACCTGTAATATAATTCAGGGTAACGCGGAGTATTTCGGTCTGTCCGTGAGTGTGGACGGCGTGGAGGTGAAGAGGGAGAACTTCCCGGATCTGGCTACAGAGATCAACGTAACAAGAAGACAACCAAATCTCTCTGTTATCTGTGAAATGTTCATCCGAGAGAATAACAAAGTACTACAAGTATCAGAAGAGAACCTCACTGTGCGATGTAAGTGACTTCCCAATCACAACCAATGATCATCAATGTTACATAGCTGTAAGGACTCCTTCACATGGGTGCATGGCATGGTCAGGAACACTGATTGTAAGTCAGGTCTTCTCATCCAACATCGCTATCTGACCTCCTTTGGCTGAATAGGCCCAGACCCCGCCCCCCCACACATACATACTCCAAAACCTGGTGGAATCATACCCAGAAGAGCGAGGGCTGATAAAGTCAGAAAGGGGGAGGGGAAGCAGCTTCTTATTAATGGTTTTGGAATCTGATAACCAACAAGCTCATATACAGTAGGTATGATGGTCAGTTGTCCACAAACATTTGGCCCTATAGAGTAATTTCTACCTACATCCGACAGGAGTCTTGCTGCAATATATGAGCATGTTGGAATATAATGGATCTTCTTTGTTTCCTCTTGTCACAGATCCGCCCGAGTTCACTAACAGAACCTGTCCGGGCTCTGTTGTCTGGGTGGAGGGAGAGAAAAGGATCTTTGGTTGTAGATCTGACGGGAACCCAACTCCTGAAGAAGAGTGCATCCTCAACACCTTGTCTCTGCAATCCTCCACATCCTTCACTGCAGCAAGAAACATGTCCGGAGTCTATACATGCCGCGCATCAAACTCTATGGGAAACGCGACCAAGTCTGTGGAAGTAACCGTGCAGTGTACGTATATACGATCACACAATGTATCAGAGATTGTATTCTTCAATATATCGTAGTTATATATTATAAACTTATATTAACTTACCTCATGAGTGTAATAATTGTCAGCTCTGTTTTTCCTTTTTGAATTTTGGCATTAGTACATGTCCCCTATGGTGGTGTATTTTACCTGATGCCTTCTGACTTGACAATAGTTGGCTTATTGACTGTACAAATAGCCAGAACTGAATAACAAATGTTGCCCCCCCCTCCCCCCATTACACTTTAATAAGGTTCACCACAAAATTCATGAACTTTGACTTTGAGCAAGATTCGCTCATCCCTACTGAAGACATTTCATTGCTGATCCAAGAAGCTTCTTGAGTGCTACTGGCAATTCGGTGACCTTAGTCCAACCACCAATGTGTCAAGGCAGATGTTGACTGCAGGGGCGTAACTAGAAATCACCGGGCCCCATAGCATAATTTTGTATGGGGCCCTGTGATTTCTAGTTACGCCCCTTGCAGAGCACACCTGATATCCCACACAGCCCACCTGAGAGTGACCCTGCAGAGCCCACCATAGACTCTCTATGGTGGGCTGTGCGGGGTGTCAGTTGGGCTGCACACCTCTTACCTGTCAGCACCGATCCGCTGTCTGACTCTATAGTCGCTGGCAGGCTCTGCCTCTTCCATCGTCGGGCCCCGCCTCCTCTTCCATAATCAGGCCCGCCTCTTCCTCCACTTCTGAAGCCGGGCCCAGCCTTCCTCCTCCACAGCTGCTGGCTGTCACTGACTCAGCAACGGCTGTGAGGAGGAACACGACGCTGCAGACATCACTGCCAGGTTGTCGGTGATCTAACACGTTCCTCCTCACACCCGCCAGTACTTTGTATCTCTCTATCTCCCCTCTGATCAATGTTTATA